AAACGTTATTGTGATCGTAAAGATGCGCGCGCCCGACGCTGCAAGGTCTTTTTTTATTCTAATTGCACAGCGCCACCCTCCCGTCAATTAATGACTCAAAGGGCATATTCGTACCATGGGAGTGGATTGCTTACTTTGCAAAAAGCCAGAGAGCCTAGAGCATACATTCATTGTTTGTTGGGATGCGATATATTTCTTGGACATTCTTCAGCCTGCATTAGAAGAAAAAAAAAAGAAACTTTTTATTCGCCCACGTACGATACGAGTTTTGACTCCAGGATCAAGGGGCGAGGTCCCTTACGACATGTTTATGATGCTTGGGCTATTCTGCGTTTGTATAACGTGAATGTCTGTCCCTCATGCCGATTTTGATGGAAAGGGAGTTCATGTGACTTTTTGTATACTTGCTCAACAAGTTCAAAGGGTGTATCAAGCGGCTGGAAATGTATCCGAATCGTGTAGTATTTTGAAGCTCTCCTCCAAATGTGAGGATTTTAGTTAGCGGCCCCAGAAGACATGGTGGCTGTTTTATCGAGTGACTGGGAGCTCTGAAAAGTAAGCAGCATTGTTTCACTTCTCATGGAATAAAAACAAGAAAAAAAAAACACGTCCGTGGCTGAACCGTTATCGGGCTTGTCTCCCTCGCAAAGAGCCACGGTTCCACTCCTGGCAGCGGACGTGCATTTTTGTTAGTTCTGTAAATGTCGCGTTCTAGTAAATCCGAGAATCCTGTTGCTCCTTCGAGGTTAGGCTCTAGGCCGATTGTTCCAGAAGCACTTGCGTACACAAAAGGGGATTCTAATGCCGAGCCGGCGTCAGTTTTGCAGCAGCGCTCGATCCTGCTCTTCCGTCCACATCCACGTCTGCGACACTACCCATTTTTATATTGTGACTCCGCGTAAGTTCACCCCATTAAACGCTCTGTTTCTCGAGTTATTCGCTGCCTGATCATTTGTCATTTGTGACAATATGTCTCCGCTTTAAACGACGCAGGTGATAAATTGTTGTCTAAAGCACACTGATCATTCTTCAGAAAAAACTCGCCACGTCCATTGAATGCCAGTAACAAACCACGGTAAGGTCGGTGAAAATTCGTTGCGAGTGTAAAGCGATCTGCTTGACAAGGCAGTTAGGCACAGTTGTAAACTCGCACAGCCTTGTGAAGGCTAATCAGTGTTGTTAGGGCATATTGAAGCCACGCATTCAAGACAGCAGCAAGGTTTTCACCTTTGAGTTTACGTTGTCTACACGGTTGACGGGAGTGCTATGTAGCTTGGAGTATTCCATTGTTATATAATGACCACCTAAACAAGCGCAAAAAAATACGAGGACAAGGAAGTAAACTGATAAGAGCGCGAAATACTAGGATGAGGAAGTAAACAGACATGTGCGCTATCATATCATAAGGAACACATACTCTTTCCTAAGTTCTGTTTAACCCCCCTAGCAAAAAGAGATAGTCATTCCTCATTAAGGAAAGCGACGTGTCACTAATGCATTGTTTTGCCTTTTGCCTTGCTTTCGAAGGCCTCGTGCAGTTCTCTGGGTACCCTGTCCGAGTACCTAGCCAGAAGCGCGGTGTCGCAAAATGACGGGGCACATGGGCAACGACTGCAGGGAGTGGCAAGATGTCCCGATGGAGTGGCTTTTGTCACCGCGGCGTGTTCCCGTGCACGATCGTTGAAACACCTTCCCGTCCAGCCGATATAAGACGAGCCGCATCACGTTGGAACTTCGTAGACAACACCAGTAGTACACTCCATGTATTTTGTGCGGTGCCTGACATCACACGGATCTTTTGATACAATGGGATTGTTGATCCTACGGCATAACTGCCCCAGCTTATTGGGTGCAGCGAGCACCACAGGCACATCGTAGCGCCAAGCAACTTTCTTAAGTGTATGCGTGACTGTATGCATATACAGGATTAACACCGGTCTCGTCGTCCTCCTGTCAGACGGGACTGCCTCTGTAATCCTTTAACCTTCTATACCAGGCCCTCTACCACCTTGAGGAAAACCGGCTCTCCTAAGCCTCGCAACATGTACATAAAAACTTCGTTGTGCACCATACCTACAGGATTTTTAATGGCTGCCTCTAGACACATAGAGGCAATACTTTTTTTACGACTTTCGAATGGGCCGAGCAATACGGGAGAACGGCCTTTTTTGACCTTGACTGGTACGTCCAGCAAATGTGGACTTCTGGAGACTTAACCGACGATCCAAGAACCGCAACTGTCCCTTTTTGGCTCCGTACGCGTAAAGTTTAGGCCACTGCCACAGGTCCCTAAACACTTCCAACAATTCCTTCACTTTACATTTTAGTGCGTCAGCCTTATTACTAAAAATGAGGAAGTCATCCACAAATATGAACATTTTAAGCCTGCCAGAGACCCGCAGTTCTCTAAAATGGGTCTACCGCACGCACTGAGAAAAAATGCTCCACAACACAGGTGCCACACAAAAACCACTGCAGATGCCCCTCTCTTGCACAAAGGAATCTCCGCCAAAAAAAAATGCTTTAAATAATAAGTGAGAAGCTCAGGAAAATGGTCAACGTTAATCCCACAGGGACTCTGGAACGGAAGAATACCGTTCTTATCAAAGCACTTTCCCACATACAAAAACAGGCGTTTCGTGAGGAACTGAATAGTAAAGGTATTGACCATCTAGAGATAAAGCACTTCTTATTCCCTGCACAACCTCTCTCAAAAATTATTTATTCATTCAGAATTTTGCACCATAAACGGGTCGTGAACTCGAGGACTGTCAATTGTTTACAGATGAAGGATGCAACGCGATCGTGACATGAATTCCTTCCGGTAACAATAACGCTGAAGGGACCACCACTTTATGGGCTTTTGCTGTAAAGAACATGTCCAGTAGCAATTTCTTGCTGGCTTTGACACTATTTAGCAGCCCGGAAAGTTTCATCGCACTGCACATCTGCATAGCACGGGCTTTGACTTTTGTTAACGGTGGTGGACTCACTTGATTCAAGTTCTCCCGTATAGCTTCCTTTGCCTTCAGGCCGTAGAGGGCATCTGGCAGGACCACGAAGCCTCCCTCCTTGTGCGCTGTGAGCAGCTTCAGGTTGTTGTACAAAAATGGTCAACGATGCTGCTGGTCTTGAAGCACTTGGTCGTTCGAACAAGAGAGCGCTGGAGGACGTCGACGCCTTCGGCCGCACACCTTGCTCTTTCATCTGGTTTGGCCTTATCTATTCATCTCACTAGTGACAGTTTCGTAACCGTGCGCAGGCGCGGTTCTTGGCAAAACTTTGGGCCGTTTTCCAGGCAAGACTTGATTGGCAGGGGAAGCTCCACGTCTCCTAGAACCGTGACTACTTCTTGCCCTCTCACGCTGCCACAGGTTTTCTTCTTCAGCGTCGTTCTTGCCTTCTGCCAAAAGAACTGGGTGTATTGCGCCGCTGTCGGGAGATGAAGATCGTCAACTCGTTAGCCGCATATTCGCCTTCCTGGATAGCGTGGTACTTCATCCTCAGGAACTCCCTGTATCTCCCCACTTGTTTCCAAGATTTGGACCTTGAGAGACGGCATACTTGTTTTGCGTGGACAGACGATGGTTGTGCTCCACTGAATAAGGCGACGACTTCTCGAGGGTAGCATCCCTTGTGAATGGCAAATTTGTATTCCCTTGAGCGACAACATGCCGAGGCAAGGATGTTAATAAGGGGGTAAACAGTAAGATGGTTAAAGGAGTAACATAGAAAAGAGCCCGATGTAATAGAAATAAACTGCATTAAGGTAGCAATTTGGGCCAGTTGGTGAGTGATCACCTAAAGATATTGCAATACTGAGCTTTCTGTGTGTGATCAAGTGTAAGCTATTACTGGCACACAATCTAAGAGCCGTGTCCAAGGGATGCACATGTGCACATGATTGCATCATCTGAGCGAATTGACCTGATTACAACTAGCATTCCCGAATGCTTACTTTCTGAACGTGATATATGAGGTGTATCATGTTGCTGCTGAATCATGGCCGAGCTAGAACTTATTTGCCGTGAATGGGAAAGGAGAGCATCGTAGTAGTTGTACTAGTAAGTGGTGAAGGTATCAGAATGCCGGAACATGTTTGCCAGTCCTTTGATGGGGCGAGTTAGGGCAGCATCGTGTTGAATAATGTGATTTTGCATATTAAAACTTAATAAACATGTATAGTGTTGAATTCTATGTGACTACAAATATCTTAATTGTTCAACTAATAAGAATATTGTTTCTTAGGATGGATATGCTCACCGGACGCGACCAATGCGACTCTCTAGTGCAGGCAACTATTGAAAACCAGCATGAGCCTAAGCCAGCGTACTAAAGCAGCAAAAAGACTACAATGTCTGAGTACTGAAATTCTAACTATAATGAATGCGATAAATGAGCCTCATTCAATGTGAGAACATGGCCGATTGATAGACTGCAAATGACAACGACCGCGAAATGTTGCGAGAACAACAACTATGAATGTTGTGAATATATGGCAAATAACTGTTATCTGCTTTCGTCACCTGAAAATCGCCGATTATTGCTTCTGAACAGACGGCGATTAACAGTTGTCTGCGTTCGCCACTGGAACATGGCCGTTGAATGCACTTGCATACCAGTTAATGGCTTTTGTCACTTGAACATGGTCACTGAATGCATTTGAGTACAATGTGAACACTTGTTATCGGCGTTCGTCACTTTAACATCGCCATTGAATGCCATTGGTGTTCGGTAAATCAAGACATTTGGCAAGTACTGAGATTCTCCGGTTTATAAATCATATATGAATCCTGGTGCTGGCCTTTACTCGTCAGACATTGTGTTCACTGGTCCAGGCTATACCAAGCATACCAATATTAACCACAGCTGAAACATGGTAGCGTGCTGCCTCTGATTGTTTTATTATATTCTTGAATAATTGATATTTCTCAGAGTTTTATATTCCTAACGAGCGTGTTGGTACGATGCACTAGATAACAGAAAGCATAAAACAGAAAGAGTACTAGATCGTATTTTATTTGGCTTCATTGTGCTTCACAGAAAGAAAGCGAATAACAAAGCTTTATTTCCGCAGGTCCGCGTATTAAACGCAAAAACGCATAAAAGGGTCAAAGGAATGCACGTTGCACAAAATGAAGTGCAGTTCCTTGAATCAGGCTTTGCGGGCCACCAGTCTAAACATGAATGCGTCTGAACTTCCCCCTAAACACCCAATTTGTTTGGGTAGGAATAGTTCTAGCCGGGGGCCATCGTCTGTCAAGGCTTCTTTTAGTACATTTTCGGTAAGGTTCGGGGCATTAAAATTAATGTTCCCTAGGGGAAATATTTTTACACCACCTATTCCAAACATGACAAGCAGACCTCCAGGTTTGACGAGGGTTGCCACATTGCAGACCACCCTTCGATATGATTCGTGGTCAGCTGCAGTCAATTCAAGGCACCCGGTGGAAAGAACGACGTCGAAGGTATCGTTGGGTTCTACCGGGAGCACTCCGGGTTCCAGCACATCGCAGTGTACCACCTTGCGAATGGCTGAGCGTGTGCGCTCGAGTATTTCCATCGCCCCCCTCTTGATGTCCCTGAATAGGAGAACAAAGAAGTCTTTGTCAGCTTTTAAGGAGTTACAGAGGCTGACACGGTGTAAAGATATCCTCATAAAAATCAAGATTGCCAGGGCATCGTAGTTCTTTTACTAAGCGCTTCGGGGCAAAGTATCTAGCTCACGTGACAGTCGCGTTAAGAGAATATTCGAGTCAACAGATTTAAGGAATCAAGAATTTCAAAATGGCTCATCAGGTCAAACTTGGCTTAACATATCCAAAGTGTCAAGAGGTCCAAATCGTCAATCGATGCATCGAGTCAAAATTTCTAAGGCCTATTAAAAGTAAAATTCACAGCGGGTTATGTTTACCTAAGTTTTGTTCACTATCAGCGAAAAAGCGATTAAATACTTCGACCTGCTACTACACCATAACGAAAACAAACTTGTCCACTACTCGCACGTTTCATAAAACAAAACCTCACCAAGGCCGCCCGTCTATCACATGGCACCCAACCGCAATCAAATCCTACACCGGACCTCCTTGCTAAAGGGGGGGGGGGGGGGGGAGGGGGCTTTCTGGTGGTGACCTAACTGGTCCCAGCAAAACACGACGAAGAAAGTACACGACATGTGGGAATACTCGAGGCCAAGGCAGCATACGGGTGTTCTGGGACCTCGGACGCCTTTTTATTTACATAGCCTCCTGTATATAGCTCGTCTGACGTTAATAAATTGAAGGAACCTTCGGTCGCTTCAGGTCTTTCAGCGAGGTGGTTGTTTAGGCTGAACACATTCTGTGATTCTCGGTTCTTGTCAGCATGATTAACCTTATATAATTTTGAGATCCAAAAAGAAAACTCCCGAGGTCAGGGAAAGTAATGTGGCTTTAGCGACAAAAAGGCTCAAGGCACACCTAAGCACTTCTTATGAATCGTGAATGCAAAAGCACGCACACCGCTCTTCGCTCCCTTCTTTAATCTGCGGCGGCCAACGCGCTAACATTGGGCGTGGAGTGGTGGAGCCGCTGCCTCGCGGATACGCAGCGCCATCGAGTGAGCGATCGTTCAAACTGCCATGTGCCTTGCGGCGCGACGAAGGAACAGACAGTAAGGCCCCTGAATAAGAAAGGTAGCGACATCTTCCCCCTCCTCCTTTGACGCGCACACCTTTTATCTTTATGTTTTGCTTTTTCGCACCCGTGCGTCGACTGTAGCGCCGCCTGGAACGCTCCAAGATAGCAGAGGGCCTTCCTATACTTGAGTCAGAGCGCAGTCAAAGGCTTGAAGACACGGAAATACATCGACACAGGCTAAAAGCGCACTGTCACGGTCTGCCAGCCGCAAAGAATGTGCTGAAAGAAAGGCAATGAAAGCCGTGACGTTGCACAGTCGGCGTTATTTGATTAGCGGCATGAGCTCATAGCATGCACTGCACTCCGACAGAATAGGCATTCCTTCTCCCTTCTCGTCCCTCATGCACTTTTATTGTTATCTTTTGCTCTTTCGTGCTCGCGCGTCGACGGTAGCGCCGCCTGGATCGCTCCAAGATAGCAGGCGGCATTCTTCAAAGGATGTCTCTACTTTTCCGTATACAGGGGCTTTAACAGACAGCAACGTAGCTCGCGGCAGAACGAACCCTTTGGCTTATTCCATGCGCCGTCTATATTGCCACGCGCCGTACAACTGAAAAGAGGAGATCGAACGCGGTGATCAGTGATAACACAACAGTGTGATAACACAGTCAGGATGACACTACAAAACCTGACGCGCAGTGGCCAATGAGAGCCTCGTCGACGCGCGCCAGCCAATAGGACCGAAGTGTAAAAGGTGCCGTCCGCTAGCTTTGCGCCTGGTTTCATTATGGTGGTGTTTTGCATGGTTTCAACGCTGATGATGCCGGCTCTCTCCATGAGAAAGTTAATGCTCTCGCTTTATTAACAGCAAACGACGAGGACAAAGAAGACAAAAGAACAAAAAGCAACATAAAGGGGGAGAATAAATGCGGAAACGACCAACTAAAGTGCTCTAATGCGGCAATGATTTCAAAAGCCTTAGTTACCCATAGCCTTCAAAGGCAGCAATCTGCTCTGCATAGGGGCTCCAGTCAATGGCATCTGCATCTCTGTTTATCCACTTGCTGAGTTCCAGCCTGTTGTCTTCAACCAAATCGCTCAGCACGATGTGCTTGAATCGATTGGAAGCCATGAGCGAGTTCAAAATCATCGGGCCGCTGCCCACATCTAACAGGGTCTCGCCCTGAATCAAGTCTGTGGAAAGAGACCAGAGTTTAATATTGACGCAACGTAATGGCCAATACGAAAATATAATTATTCTGCTTTTCTCCTAAAAATGATCCTTATTCACAAACATTTCCTATTTTGCACTCAGAAATTATGCGTCCAGCTGTGCTCGGGTGAGACACCGAACACCTCGCCCAACGGAAACGCGATGTAGGGCAATGGCTTTTTTTCACAGCCGTATTTTGGGGGGTTTCTCCTCTCAAAGTGCCTTCCTTTTAACGTCATGACGTCGTCATGCTACGAGTGCACGTGAGTGCGCATAATATGTTGGACTTCAAAGAATTAACTTTAATCGAAAATATAACTGTAGTCAAAGAGGTGGTGGGGACCACGAAACAAAGTTTCAGTTTTCCCGGCTCGACCTGACCTGCCAAGCCATTCCGGAAGGCGGCACTCTCCAGTAACAACTGCCCGGACATGGGCGGCTTTAATAAAGTTGTTTTTTTCTATGCTTCTCTCTCTCTTCAGCTCGCACGTGCAGTCGAAGCACGGCGAAGGGCGTGGAGAGTGCACCGGAGGCCGGGCGTTTAACACTACACCTCTCACAGTTTTCAATTTGTAGTTTCCACACAAAAATACGCAATAAATTTTCGTGTTCATCAACTGGCAATCTGAGGAGCTCCTCCTTTGTAACTTAAACAGAATAACATTCAGAATTCGATATTTACCTGACTGAAGAAAACGATATGTTTTTTCTACTTGAGGAGGAGAAACTTTCCCTGTAAAATGATAATCCAAATATAATCCAAATATGTGCGCGCACAAATTTCTCTTTGTAAGAATCCCTCAGTGCTTGGGATGACATGCTTTTCAAGGTGTGCGAAGTGGTACTCCTGGAATCGATTACAGAAGGTATTGAAAATACATCGTTATCGGCTCTACACCGGTATTGGGCAGTTTATTAAATAATTGTCTTTGTTGTATAATGCAGTCCACGCGTACAAGCATGCATAGTTTCATTTGCATCCTCACATATACAGGATGTTTTCTTTTGAGCTGTACAGATTTTTAAAAAAAAAGGCGTTAAGGCTACACTTCATTAGTTTGTGCAAGTGAATTATAGGCCAGAGGTACTTAGTATATGGGCCAATCTTAACAATCAGTCGGCAAATTGATAACAATTTGTTGATAAACTTTTTGATTAGTGAAAATAGACAAATGGTTCCAATTAAAAACGTACTCAGCCTCATCGAAAACCATAAAATCAACACTTTTTTGAACGACTTGAAGGTCGTGGGAAAGTTGGGGGCGCACCAAAGTTACCATTCGTGAAGAAGGCGCAAAGCTAGCAGTGATAAAACGCGGATGATTAGATTCTCATCGCGTTGCGCCACTGCTAGCTTTGTGTCTGCTGCGCGGGTGTTAACTTTGGAGAGCCCCTGAGTTTCCCACGAGGTTCAAGTTGTTCTAAAAAGAGTTGACTTAGGGGTTTTCGACGACGCTCACTAAGTTTATGATTGAAACCATATGCCTTTTTAAATAAATATAAAGTTATATTCACAATTTTGAATGAACTAGCCGACTGTTGGTAACAATTAGCCCCCTATACTACGTATCCCTGGCCACATAACTCACCTGCACAAACCGCATCAATCTAACATTCACGTTTATTTTTTTATTTTTTTTAATTTGTTTTAGACTGAACTTTGTAGTTTTTCGTCTATGAACTTTTTTAGGCGAAAATATATAAAAAAAACTGTGGGAGGTCAGTAAGAAAAGTTAAGTGAGACATAAAGCAGAAAGTAGAAAATTTACAAAAAAATGTCTTTCACTATGTATAGCTAGACAACGTTATATATTTTAGTCACCCTTCCTTCTAAGCCTTAGATGTGTAATGACACTTATTTTCCTTGAACTTTCACTTCCGCTTTCCAGAACTTCTATTCATCTGAACGATCTAGGCCAAGTTGGAACCTCACGAACTCGTTCTAAGAAAGTTTTGTGTTGTTGGTGGCGTAAAAGGTCGTTTACCAATATATTTTAGCTCCAACTTTTTATTATTATTTGGTTGACTGCACCTTGAATTTTGCAGAACACAGTCTCAAAGGGGTAAACATACCAAGCTATATTTAGGGGAAACGAGGAGTTAGAAATTTAATAGGAAGTTTATATTCACTGTTTTTTAGCGATACCATTATGGTAGCTTTTAAAACTGATATGTGTTTCAGTAAGAAAAACGTATATTAAAAATGCTTATAGAAAATTCTGCTACCGTGTTCCTTAGAATAAGTTAAGAACACTGGACATATACCAAAATACGTAGTTAAAGACAAAACAAAAAAAAAACCATAAATGTGGTTGGTCTCTAGACATTTACTTAACGGATATCAATAGTCTAGAATCTCCACAAGAAACAAATAAAAAAAAGTTAAAGGCGGAAACATTGTTTTGAGTTTCGTTAATTTCCACTATTGAAACTTTCGCAATATGCCGCGTTTTCGAAGCAAGAAAGAAATTGAGTTTTTGCTTAAAACATAGACGCTATGGTTTATATGTGATTATTATTTTTAAAAAAATTTTGTATTGAATGTATTGCGGAATACTCCGTTTTTTAAGCAAGACACAATAGGTGTTTGGTCTAAAAACTCAATATTTACGGCTTCTATGCAGCTAATAACTTAGAAATTCCAAAGAAATAAATGTCAAATATATCTATATTTATAATTCCAACAAACCTTTTTTTAATATTGGTCTATATTTAGCATTGCGAAGAATGTAAAATTAAAAGTTAGAAAAGGAAATAGAGGTCTTTTGTCAAAATCTGCATAAATGAGTATTATACTATCCGGCTGGAATGGATTGCAAACACTGGAGCGCGTGGCCGTGAACCCAGGCGGCGCCTCTTGGAGGCGCCGCCTGGGTCCATGGCCACTCGTGAGAACAAAGGACAAAAAAACGCGCGCGCGCTCCCATGCATTATTCAGTACTTCAACTAAGTATCGGGAATATTCAGTAACAGCCATAGCATCCCTTATACTTCCAGCTCGCAATATTATCATTCCATTACATTTGGGGAAAAAACGGGCATGAGTCTGCTTATAGGCTCCTAGAATCTCATCAAAATTAAAAGTTATGGATTAGAAAATTTATTGATGTTGAAGTGTAATATATGTCCTAGAGATGGCGGCACTGACATTACTGTAATAAAATTCCAGTAATTAAATTCTTTTTCGCGGTAATGAGTAATGTAAGGAACTACTTTCCTATGCTAGTAATTTAGTAATGTCGTGAATTACTTTCAGTCGTTATTTTAGAAGAAATTGCACCTTACTTTTGAAACCACCTTCGTCCCGAATTACAAAGTTGATTAGCAAGCTTTAAAAAAGAAAGAGAAAAAAAATATGTTGCATTGTAATATGCCACGAAAGAGACATTAGAGAAATCGAACGACAACCACCTGTGCGTAAAGCCTCGTACGAAAAACTGGACAGACGCACAAAGGCGGGAAGGAAAGGCGAAGGAGAAAAGTTAACGTGTACGGAGAAAAGTTTACGTGTGAGGAAAAAAGCTTACGTGCATGTAGGAGAAAACCTTACGGGCACCAAACATCGGCGCCAACTTTGTGTCTGACGAGTTTAGAGCCCCAGGCAAGAAAGAGTCACGGCGTCACGTAATTATAACGATGTTACACTTCGATCATCCCTAAGCTGACACTGAGGTGGGAACTGCGGGTAAACCAGAACAAATCAGACACCTTTCTTTGATCAGCTGACCCGTCCCTTTCTCTGCGCGTTGATATGAACGAAATTGTGGTTACGTGACGAAAGATACACTTTTGACTCTTCCAACGAGCACGTAGCTTCCACCTCATTGTTAGCTTCGGAATGATGAGCTTAAAGGCTACAAGGCGAAATGCACATCACCAGTGAGGTCAACACATTTTAAAACCTGAGGAAAGCTCGATCAGATCCCCAGGCTTCTTGTTCTCTAGTCAAGCAAGGTCAAATTGTAAGCTTCGACCATTGGTAACAACAAATGATGGAATAAAGGGTTAACTACAAATGTATTTTCATGGCCCCAGATCAATTCGTGCGTCCTTGAGCAAAGCAGGTACCGCTCGCGGTATGCCTCGCTGCCTTCTCTTGGAAAGTTCATTCGGGAATTAGCCTATGAGCAGATATCATCACCCGTTTGTTGGTATAGTAGACAATTTAGGGCAACTCCCGCCATTCCTTCCTTCAGCTGGTGTCGCCTGTGATTAGCAGTAATTCAGCTTTTTTGTGTGTCAATGCGCAAAACCTTGGCCTCTTCGGGTTTGTGTGAACAATGCTCCTTGAGAGGAATCACCGGAAATACGTCAACTACTTCTCTTGGCAGGATAGTGTTACATTACGTCCGAAACGGAAGGGAAATATTTCACGTGACGTCTCCTTTTATAAATGAGCTCCCATGGCCTGACTGAACAAGCTGACAAGGAGTGTAACTTCTAAGTCGGGGAGAGGGCAACGTGTCACCCTTTTAGTAAGGGCCCCCACCGTTGAATCAACGGCGAAACCGGTTAGTCGACTGACTTTTCGTCACATGTAAAAAAGCTATTCTTCATGTTTAATACTTACGTCATGTGCGCCAGCAAAACAACTGTTCAGTACGGCTCGATTTGAGACGCATATGTCTCATGCGGTGTAAACAGGAAAACCTGAGTTTTAGTACATATATGGCAAATAAAATGAGCATGAATTACTGCCTCAAGATGTTCAAAAATATTGTCAGAGTAATTTCATTACTTCTGAATAGTAATTGTAATGCAATGTCTTTACTTTAGCGCTGCAGTAGTTTGTAATGCAATTTATTTGCAGTTTTGCAGTTTCCAGAAAAGTAATTATTAATGTAATTTAATCCCTTTTGGAAATTAATTTCGCTACCACTGATGTAAACATAGAAAAAAAATTATGAATTTGGTTTTCAGGACGTTTTTTAGTAAAGATATTGTTTTTTTCCATAAGACTTAATTCTCCTATGAATATAACAATCTTGAAACTTCGGTAGCTTTGTTTTATTAAAAAAAAACTACATATAGCAGTAGACTATCCAAACCGAGAGCTAAAACTTTTATGAATTTCAGTTTCAGACCTCACTATTTTGCAACGTCTGAAAAAAAAAGGAAAAATATAAAAATAATCCTTTTCGCTTTAATTATTAATAATTATTTCTAACTTTGCTCGTTTGCTCTGTAACTTCTAGAGTGTATAGTACTTTTGAGTTTAAATTTGCAGACAAAACGCCCTTATCTCTTTTCTTTGAAACTTGATAAATTTTATATGGGTTCGGTATTAATTTATTTTAGTAGACACGGTCAAAAATTTTTTATGGAAATATAGTTTTTATGTATATTTGTTTCTATACTATTGACACCCATATGCTCTAGGTCTTGTTGGGGTAGCCTGGTTTTAAAAACAAAAGGTGATTACTGTGAGCTTTTGATAACATTTTACACATCTGCAAACATAAAAAACACTCAGAAAATCGTGACAAAAAGTATTGCATAATTTAAAAGTAAATACTGATTTACTAAGCACGTTGTTTATTTTACAGTCTGAAACCAAACTGTAGTAGACACGAGGTTCGGAAACACCCGCAGGTTAAACCTTACGCCATCTCTCGGCAGTCACATCAGCGCCCAAGTTTAACTCAATGAGCAAAACAAGTTAGATTTCGGTAATGCAATGTAAAAAAAAAAGTTTTTTTTTTGCGTTTGGCGGATTTTCATATTGACGTAATAGTCCGCCGTTTATAATTTTAACGCAACTTGACCATTAAATTTACTTCCTAAAACAATGAACCTGCTCTCATAAACCCCATTAAAATAGACCATGACATTCACCTCCCAGGTAGA